AGTAAATATTGTACTCAATTTAAAATATTGATGCAACATTTTTATAATTCACTATTAAATATGTTATTATTATTTTTTAACTTCTCGAAAAAGAAGTTTGTTTTGTGAAAAAATCTGATTTGCTAATAAATATTTTGTCGAAGTGGAATGAGATCAAAGATCTATATTTCACATATATCCTATGCTACAATCTAAACGGTAAAGGATACTTAAAAGGTTTATTCAGCCGAAAAATGCAGAATAAAATTACGAATAAAATGATATATAATTCGACATGTGTATTCATATATTTTTCTTGAAATTTTCCAATTTTTTAAAATTTTGGCACTGCAACTCGCCTATAGGCCAAACCGTTTAAAATACCAAGTTCTGATATGTGGAAGAAAAACTAAGAATTTTGAGACGATTCTAACGATGTATAATACTTTATACGGTTTCTTATGAAAATCTCAAATGTTGAGAATAGTATAAAAATTCAGTTTTCCTTTCATTATAAAAAAGTTATAAATGTTACAGGGTAATTTGTTTTAAATACTGTCCGATATATATAAAACTAATTGAAAACTTTAATTGTATTTACTCATGCAATTATAAAATAAAAAATAATAATAAAGGGACTGGGATTTGAACCCCAAAATCAAAATTAAAACGCTGTGATGTTAACCATTACACCACCAAGATATATAATGGTATTGTAGCAACTCACTATCTGTATTGCAGGTATAGGATTCTAGAACTTTCTAGACTGCTATGCATGAGCATGACTCATGATGCCACAAGCCCACAAGTAACGCCGTGCGTGTCAAAATCACGGCGTCCTTAATGCAAAATTCTTAATTATAGTATGTTTTAAGATACTAGTTTTGCTGGAAATAATCAAATAATATTTTCAATTATGTGTAATGTGTAATAGTGTTATAGTGTTCATTGTTTCTAATGTGTGTAATGTGCATTGGCGCGAAATATATACCACAAACAAGTTTAGTTAACAATTGTTTAGTAAGCATTGTCTCTGAAAAATATACAATATTTCATTTCTTTGTTGTTACTTTGGATTAAAATACAAAGGTTTGAAAGTTCAACTTAATTTTACGTCATCTGATTTGATTTGGGATGGATAGATTAAGTAATAAGTTATGTATATCTAACATAACCTTAGTTTTAATAGACGAATTCTTTTTACTATTGGTGAGTATAATACTTAATTATGCGTTTATGCATTGTAACTAATAGCTATTTATTTTTAGAATAATTACTGCTAACTACATTATTATTAGTATCTCTCTAAAATAATCGGAAACTAGCTATTCGAAATGTCAAAATTTGCAAGTTTTCAATAAAAATGGTAAGAAAAGCAAGATAATTTTATTTTTCTCACAAAGGATTTTTATATTGATCAGGAGTTTAAACACATTGAGAAATCAGTTGTACATATTACGTGAAATATAATAAAATATAACATAATAAAATATAACATAACCTAATCTTTTTGAGTGAAGACATATCTGAACTTTCATATTTATAAAAGGTAAGACAATACTTGTTATAATATAATTATATGTCTCTGCATTTAAAACATATTCTTATTTATTTTCAGGTAATATTGTTGTAAGCGCAGAAAATAGAGAAACTGGTTTGCTTAGTAGTAAAATGTTATCGAAAAGTTTTTCATCAAAAGTTTGTAACTAAATAAGTTGTAGAAAGGAAAGATATAAATTTTGACAGAATAGTCATAATGTTTGATTATGATAAATGCAATGTGGAATGTCAATAAATCTGTACATTTGCATAGCAAGATTCTAGACTATGATATGATGTCATTATTTTTTAAGGTAAAAGTAGACAATCTCATTTTAACGTTTTCATAAATTATTCATATTGATAATATATAATGATATATTATAAATTTATTAACAAGGAATACGAGGTTTCAGATGACAATACAAACTTGGACAAAAATATTTTGGGGTTATGATTGAAAAAGTTTCCCAGTCACTGTTCTAGACGATAAGATAATCATATCTAAATCATTTCTAAAGGAAAGAGTTAAGTCAATCCTATTTTACAATCTCATTTCAATGCTTTCATAAATATTTCATATTGAATAATAGATATAATAAACAAGGAATACAAGTTTTAAATGACAATGCAAACTTGGTCAAAAATATTTTGGGGTTATGATTGAAAAAATTTCCCAATCACTGTTCTAGACGATAAAATAAATTTCATAACCTCATTTCAATGCTTTCATAAATATTTCATATTGAATAATAGATATAATAAACAAGGAATACAAGTTTTAAATGACAATGCAAACTTGGTCAAAAATATTTTGGGGTTATGATTGAAAAAATTTCCCAATCACTGTTCTAGACGATAAAATAAATTTCATAACCTCATTTCAATGCTTTCATAAATATTTCATAATGAATAATATTTATATTAACAATGAATACAATATGTTCAGATGATGTACAGTGTTTTATCGAATGACGATGTTATAAATAGTTAAATTAATTTAATTTTGTTGCTGTTATTCGATTTAAATTGAGTATATATGTATGTCTATCTGTATGTAAGTAGATGTGTATGTATGTGTATACGTATGTATATATATGTGTATATATCTGTGTGTATATGTATATAGATATAAATATACAAGTTATGAATTAGCAAACAATATTATAAAACTGTATAAAGCCGATTGGCGTATAAATAAATAAATAAATAAATAATTTACTTGATATATATCAAATGTAATGTAGGTTTCCCAATGACTGTTCTAGATGATGAAATAAATATTTCATAATGGATAATAAATATATTAACAACGAATAAAATATGTTCAGGTGCTGTACAATATTTTATCGAGTGACGATGTTGTAAATAGGAAAGTTAATTTGCCTTTGTTATTGTTATAAAAAAAAAATACTTGATATGTATTAATAAATATCCATTAAAAAATAATCAATATTCATGACACTTTTGTGTTTTATGAATAATCATATTTTTAATGCAGTTATATATTGTATCATTGTTTATATTTAATAAATGAATTTCCACAAAAACATTTTTAATAAATTTACGTTAATGTTCATTTCAGGTGTTTTATTGTTAAATAAATGATATTGATTTATGCGTTATATTATTTCAACTTCAAATTTTCAAATATTTGTGTAATATTTCAACATCAGTTATAAGTTTCAGAATAATTCAATAATTAATAATTCTAAATGTTTACCAGCTCTCTGTCTAATTGTATATTACCTTACCAACATTCAACAATTCGTAGGCAACATTGGTTCCAAATTTCCAAATATAGACCAATATAGACCAATTGTTGGTTTACCTATATGGCCTCAATATAAAAAATGTTCAATTTTTATGACCAGCCGATATTGGTTTCAAATTTGACCAATGTAGATTTTATATGCTTGTAGATTCAGACCATATTAATTTCTACATGGGTAACTGTAAACACTATGACTTTGATCAGAAAAAATTCTACGCAAAAAACTGATTTTGTGGACTATTGTAAATGTACTAGTGTTGAGCGGGGCACAAAGCTCCAATTTGACTTTTACACTCTTTATAAAATAATAACTAAATTATTTAACCATGCGAAATAAAAATTTCACGAAAACATTTCTTACAATTGGAAAGATTATACCGTATTGGTTTTTTTGAGAAATATTTATCAGCAGGGATAGAAGTACTATTAATTGAATTTATCTTTTGTAAATTGCTTTTTTTAACATAATCTACTTTTTTATTAACTATTAGAAAATAGTACATAAATATAGTAATATTGTTTATACCTTACCTTTTTAAACTGAAAAAGGTAAATGTAATAGTATGACTTTGATCAGAATAATTTTGTATTGTCAAAAAATTAAATTAGAAACTACTGTAATCAGTTTCTAATTAGCTTATACCATGCCTTTTTTACAAAATTTCGGTAATTTTTTTTTAATATTTTGAGAATCTTAAGAGAAACCTTGGGAAAATACGTGTGGACCGGTTCTGTGGCGTCTGAAGCGGTCAAAGAGCCGGACCGCTCAATCTAAATATTTTGCATTTTTTGCCCGTTTGCGAATTTGTTTCGTTTTGTTGATGTTTTTTTTTGGTAACTTAAACAGGATTCGCGTGTTCTTTTCCATCTATAGCCGGGTTTTCCAATTGCGTCCGTATTGATCTACAAATAGCCAAAAAATGCGGCCTGATGACGTCGAACAATAATCTAAATCGCAGATTATGATATCATCCTGCATTTATTTAAATTAATTATTATTTATAAGTGTGGTGCGAATGTTTATTATGTTTTGCTACGACATTGGAATTTGGTGCAATTTTATATATTAATTACAATTTTTTACGTAAGTTTTATTTTGTAAACAAACTGGTCAATCAACCTGGATGGGAATTAGTGAATGTGAGAATTTTGCAGAAGTCTGTTGAGATATTGTTGTAATTCTTAAAGAATCATTGTTTTTATCCTCGTCTTTCTTTGTTTTTCTCACAATCTTTATGGATGTTTTTTGTACTATAATTGCGCTTTTAATTCTTCATATTTTTGGCCACCCAAAATGCATTCTTTTGAGAATCTTCTAATTGTAAGTTTCTCTTTTATTTATTTACTTTACTGAAGCTGAAGTGAGACTTATTAGTATGAAAATACTCATTAAAAAATTACTTTTTCCACGCCTCTTAACAAATTTTTATTTCATTTTATTTTCAAAGATATTCTAGTTTGAGGTTCTTATCTTGTAATTTTCAAATTATTATTTGGTTGCTTGGTGCATAATTTGCTTACAACTTGATATTTTCTACTTGTAAACATGATAAGTAAATTAAAATTAGCCCCCCCCCTCACTTTTCGCCACTTGTATATTTAGAACCTAAAATAATGATCAAATTTTTGGTCGAAATTTTGGTAATTTTTTTTAAGAATTTTTGGACCACATCTACCCCCCTTGGTTAATACGTGGTTATATTTAAAATTATTCCTCCTCCTCCACTCTTTATCAAGCACATTTTAGAACTCAAAATAATGGTGAAATTTTTGGAATTTTTTTGAAAAATGTTGAACTTTTTTAAAAATTTGGGTAACATTTAATTAAATAAATGTAGCATCTTACTAGACCTTCCTCCCTCACCTGATATTTTGTGATCTTTTTTATCAAACCCTACCTTTTAAGACTCATTTGATTATTAGACGCTCCCTAAGAATAATTTTTACCCCTTTTATCTACCCTGATAAAATAGCTTATTTAATAACATTTTCGAATGAGAATTTTATTGTTCATTGCTAATTATAAATTTTCTCGACATTTCCAGTCATTCAGTATCGCTTGACACCAAAATAGGAAAAAGTGTGTAGGCATCGTAGAAAAAGTGTCTAAGCCAAAATTTGACTTTTTGTCGACGTTGCATAGATATCAAAGACGATAGATGAAACTTGAGAAGGATTCATGTTGATTGGGTTTGTGTGACAATCTGTCGAGCAGTTTCTTCACAAATAATAAATACATTTTTTTTTATCCGGATTTTAGCCAAAAATACTGAACTTATATTAAAAATCGAATAACTGTGAAAGATATCAGTTGAAAATTATACAGATTGAAGATCTTAGAGTGAAGAAGAAATTATGAAAGTTATACACTCAGGTTAATAATGATTTTAGGCTGATTTTTATAAATTGAATATACCCATAGATTCTAATTAGATCTTTTTATTCATTCATAATCGATTATTAAAAATGCTTAATTAACTCACACTTGCTATAAAAATTCGCACCAGTCGGAAGGTAATACAATTTTCATACGAATTACCATTCAATAGAGGATTGCTTTCTTATTTAATAATTCTATTGTATTTTGCAAATCTTTGTGTTTAAATTATATACAGTGTATTGTTGTAAACCAAATACAATAGAGGTTTGAGTAACTTGCATGAAATAACATATAATAAAAATGAATTCATAAATAAAATATGTGATGCGCGGTGTGATTTTTAAAAATATTGTTATGCAGGCACCTCATTCTCATGGATATTTCCTTAAATTACGAAACTGATATGGACAATTGGGTAATTGAGTATTGCATGTCGATTTATGTAATTGTAGATATTAATAATAGTAAAGAGGCATAATTGACTTTTAAACTTTGTTAACTGGTATGTATTGGATCTAACTTTATTAACATCTAGAATAGCCCAACCAGAATAATTAAAATTTAGAAGAAGTAGATCCACACACATTGGAGAATCTAGGAGCTTCAAATTATGAAACTGATATGGACAATTGAGTAATTGAGTATATATTGCACGTCGATTTATGTGATTGTAGAAATCAATAATGGTAAAAAAGATTAATTGACTTTTAAACTTTGTTAATTAGTATGCATTGGATCTATCTTTATTAACGTCCAGAATAGTTCAATTAGAGTAATTAAAATTTGGAAGAAGTAGATCTACACACTTATATAAGAATCAAGGGGCTTATTGTAACAAGGATAAATATCAACAGACGTTTTTCATTAGGATCCTGAACAATATTAAAATAATTTTTGTCTTTATTAGACATGTAAACCTTTCTGCATAATATTGTCAATTCTTGTGATTGCTAAATTCTTCAAAAAGTTATCTTGATCAATGTAAAAAAATCACATCTGGGGTTAATTGAAAAAAACCTTGGTAACTAGTTGTAAGCTCATAAAAAAGATTAATTGTGAAATAATGAACAATACTTGTAGAATTATTTTAACTTGATACAGAAACAGGTAGAGCTTCTTTGCAACTTTGGTAGTAAAAATAAAATCAGTGGATCTCAATATTAATTTAAAAAAACTATTACAACAACCACCTAGATATTACAATAGATCTCCTATATATTACAAATAATCTATTAATTGTTATTGAACTCAGATTTAATAATAAACGTTCTCAGTACAAGTGTTATATTGTTGATCTTATGACAGAATAAAATAGAGTATGTGTAAAAAAATTCTCTATTTCTATGATCTTTTATATATTAATTATCTATCAATAATCATTTAAATCTAATTTAATATAAAAGGTGTTTTAAACACATTACCTAATTTGTTTTACTCCTCATAAGAAATACCTTTTAATAATTTTTAATATTATATTATTTTTAAGAATTTTCAG